AGCTGCTGCCAAGAACGATTATTGAGTCCATGGTCCTTCTGTGGCTGCGTATGAGCTAAAGTCTGGGTTCTGCATTTCCACCCTTGGTCATATACACGCCCAGGGCTGGGGTTAAAATCTGAAGCCTTGTTGTCATCAGATGGCCACATGACTGCCAGAACCATTCTAATCTGAGGATCCATTACTTCTAGCAAGAGCCAGAATGACATCTAGGCATTAGCTGTTGTGAAAAGCCATGTCTGTGTTGGTTCCCTTCTGCTCAGCCCCCAAATAACCACACAAAACTATATTATTTTAATACTGCTTGTCCCATTAGCTCTAGCTTCTTATTGGCTAACACTTGTATCTAAACTTAACACATTTCTAGTTATCTGTGTATTGCCACATGGCGTGGCTTACCAGGAAAAGTTCTGGCGTCTGTCTCTGGTGGGGCTACATGACTTCTTTCTCATTCCACCTTCTTTCTCCCAGCATTTAGCTTAGTTTTCCTCACCTAACTAAGTTCTGCCCTGCTATAGGTCCGAAACAGTTTCTTTATTCATTAATGGTAATCACAGCATACAGAGGGAAATCCAACATCAGGGAAAGTCCAAAGCCATCCCTACTATATCTAGGTTGAGCAAATTATCCAACTTCAGAGAATGGGTTCCACAAAATCCAGTATATAAAAAAAACAAACTACTATTACCTAAGATAATGGTAATTAAGGCCACCCAAGGAAACTCATCATAGATATTGTTTTGAGTCCTTAAGAATGGAGTACTACACAGTGGTTAAAAAAAATAGTATCTTGAAATTTGCAAGCAGAAGGATGGATCTAGATAAAAACATTTGAGTGAGTGTCAGAAAGACAAATATCATATGTACTCACGAATAAGTGGCTTTTAGACATAAAGCAAAGAAAAACCAGCCTACAGTCTGCAACTCTAGAGAATCTAGACAGCAAAGAGGACTCTAAGAGAGACATAAGTAGTTTTAAATAGGAAGGAGAAAAAAACAAATTTTCCTGAGTAAACTGGAATTTGTGGGTCATGGAAGAGGAGAGGAAGGGAGAGGAGAGGAAAAAAATGGAAGTGGAGAAAAATGTACAGTCCAATAAAAACAATAAAAGAGAGCAAAAAGGAAAAGAATAAAGACTCATTTTCCCTTAAAATAAATCATGTGTTATGGTGCATCATATATCTAAATTTAAAATATTGCTAAAGGTACACTTTTAAATCTAAACACAGATTGTTAAAATTACTTGAGTTTAATTTCTCCAGGTTATTTCAGAAATTTCATTGGGGATTACCAGTGGGGTTTTGTCCAAATCCCTCTAGTGCCCTTAAATTCTCTTCTACTGAATTGAAGCTTCTCTAAAAGCTTTGAGCCTTGCAGGGCTGGACTTGGAATTTCATCACCATGGACAAGGAAGGAAAACAAGAGGGTTCAGAGTCCAAAGCATTTCAAATTTTTTACATAAATCTGATGTGCTTCTCATTCTTGTTCTGAGTCCTGACAGGGTAAGTTTTAATGACACTCAAATACATTGTCATGAATTTATGAATCATAGATATTATTTCAAATGCTGATAGGAACTGGTCAACACCAAAATTGTAACCATTGCCATTTTGCTTTCTATTTTTCACCCTTTCTTCTTTCCTTTGCTTTTTAAAAATCCCTGAGTCTAAAAAAAAGTCATAGGCTAATCTATTCTTATTTTCTTGTTTTCCAGTAGAATTGTAATCTTTATTAACTTTACATTCTGAAAGAAGAACTGTGTGTCAGCTGCTTTTGATAACCTTAAATGACCTTCATTTGTATATCAGCTGCATATTTTAATCATTTGCAAGAAAATTTGAAGGATATATTCCAACAGAAAATCCACCATTGGAGTACTTTATTGAAATCATAATTTTAAATTTGGGACTGATAAAGGCTGGAATAGGATATTAAAGAAAGAGGAAAATAGAAAAGTGATGGTAAACCAAAAGACATAGAAATAGTATAAAGAAATCAAAGAAAACTAAACATATATATATATATATAATAAATCCTAGAAAACTTTAAATAATCAAATAAATAATCTTAATACAAAAAAGATTGTCAATTTTTGCAATTATTTGGTCTGATTATTCCACTGTATACCCGGGGTAATCTTTTGCAGGCATTAGATTCATGTTTCTTGTGTAAAATTTTTTCCGATTTTAGTTCCTTCATTCATGATACCAGTTCTTCTCATGTACTCTGTGTTCTTATTAATACGATACTTTTACTAAATAGGTATTGGTCAAAATAGTTTACAACATCTATAGAAATCCATATTTTTGGAAGTATTAAAATCGTGGAAGAAAATATATCCTCAGGGCTTTCCTTGTCTTACAAATTCCTCAGAAATGTGGAAATTTTTTTCATTTAAAAATAAGACAAATAAAGAAGATGTAGTTTGATGAAAAGAAAATAATGACAAAGTATTTAATCTTTAGCTTGCTCTTATAATATATTAGCAATATATGTGTACATTTCATTGTTTATTGTGGATATTTCTGTTTTACATAAGAAACCCATGTGGTAAAAAATATTAGATAGTATAATTTTATATGAGAAAAGTCAAAGCTCAGAGTTATATGAGATATGAAAAGAGGAAGAGATGACCAAAGCCAGTTTTTTACAGTTTGATGAGCACAATCGCTGTGATGGACTGCTTTCAAGTGGAAACAACAAAAGACTGAAATTGAATCTTAAGAGAAAATTGGTAAAGCCTATTTCCTAATAGAATAATTTATGCAAGAGAAATCCAACATATTGTGAAACTCTGCAGTTGATTAGCTTCCCCTTTTCCATTCCTTTTGACATACACATTGTCAGCTTTAGATCTAAGATATCATGAGTTTTATTCGAATCCTAATAGACATTTAAAAGAACAAGGGGATTTAGGTTTTGTGTAAATGCGTGTGTTGACTAAACGTGTTCCTTGTTTCCTTATGTGGACTATTTCTTTGGATGTCCATACCCCAGAGAGGAGAGTATTTACTTTCACATCATGTGTGACAATTTGTGGATTCTAATGTTTAAGGTTTTTCTCTACGACTGCATTACCTTAGTAAAGGAGGAAATGAAGTATAAAATAATAAAGAAGCTTCTGTAGAATTTTAATGAGAGATCTATGATTTCTTCTTTATTGATCTAAATTCCATCTGATACATAATGAATTTTTCCAAAATCATATTAAAATAATGGGCTTAAGTTCTTAATTAAAGATATAAGGAAAATCTTTTTGGTAAGGAAATAAACATATTCTGTAGTTATAATATCTTTTGATAATCATCTTTTTTATTCTTGAAATATAGCCATGCCTCTTTACTCCTTTTTTAATTCATTTATAAGCACTTAGGTACTCTTGGTTAATAGTTGGGTGTGCTTTTTGCACAAACTCATTACCTTTGGGCCGTCTTTGTAGTTTTATGCCTACGATATGTGGTTCTCCTTACTCTCGTTCCTAACCAGTTAAACTATTGAAGTTTCTACTTTGTATTCCATAGTAAGAAAGTAGCATACACTACTTTTGTTTTGTTACTACTATGTAGTAAATATTTTTCCATTTTCAAATTTTTATTATTTTGTAATGAATATTTTTTCAGTGTTTAGTGGGGGGTACTTTTAACAGGGTAATTTAAACTTTTTCCCTTATCAATCATTAAATTTTGACTTAAAGTATACTAAGTTATACATACATAATGCTGACAACTCAGAATAATATAACATTGTTGCTTAATTTGCTTTTCCCTGATTTTAATTTTGTAACTGGACTTTTTCTCATGTGACACTTTCAGAGATTTTGGGGATAATTATACAAGAGTGTCTTAACTTGAGATCAATGGGTAGAATTTCAATCAATCTATAAAATGTTATTCACAATTCTCTTTTGGTGTCAAATGTACTTTTTCTTGTGCTTTACCTCAGAAGATGTAGAATGCAAAAAGAACTGATTTCTTCCTTTTCTAATTTTTTGTAACAGAGTGATATGCCATTCATGAATAAGATGATTAATTTATTTACTTTTAAAAAGCTGTCTTGAATTGAGCAATTATGTGATACATTATAGAGTGGGTTACAATTTAAAAATAAATAAGAAAGCAATCAAAATATTTTACAGTTTCATTTTTTCCCTGAGAAATTTTAGGATTTGTCATTACGCACAAGCATAGTGTCTTGTAAAGTAAAACATGTAGTTTAATTTAGACAGGCAAGTTGTTGAAAAAATGTGACATAAGGAGAGGTCTTTGGATATACTCTGTGTCCCTGCAGGTGTTAACTTCCAAGGTGATGCATGAATATGAGAAACTGATGACAACAACAAGAACCTCCTGAACAGATTTAAAACTAAACTGGAAAATGAGGTGACAACTATGAAATCATAGTCATTCTGGAACCTGTAAAGAATCTACCCTCTTCTCCAAAATTTTCCTAGCCATTCTTTATCACCTTCATTACTAAATTTTTAAGATTAGTTTTAGTAGCACTCTTGAGATTCCTGTAAAGAGATTCAATAATGTGACATAGTGAGCCCATTGAAGTACAGTGCTAGCAGACATTTTCAAAATTCAATTACTTTAATCAATATGATGTACTGAGAATAACAATAACCTCATTTTCAAATTAAAACATAATTCTATATATGTTTATATATACCTATAATATAAACATTTATCAAACAAGTAGAGTGTACTTTCATCTTGATTTTAAACTTAGATATGTGTTTAATTTTTAAAATACTTACCTAGTTCTTCATAATAATTTTAAGATTTTTGAATCCCTCTAAGAACTACAATAAATTTATTACTTAAAGTATGTCTATGCATCTGTTTTCATGAGTGAACTGTACTACACTTCAAAGTATTCTATTTATCTTTGTCATTGTTCTATCTAAAGTAAGAATTGTCTTTAACATTTAATGTATATACTTATTGGTTAAAATGACTTTGAAAATAAACAAAAGTTCCTGAAAGACCAAGTCTTTAGCCCAGCATTCTTGCCATATAAATAATCAAGCAAGTAGAAGCAATGGGATATGTAAACCTCACAGAATTTATCTTACTGGGACTTTTCCATAATGAGGATGTCAAGGCCATGTGTTCTGTGTTGTTCTTGCTTTGTTATCTAGCAATTCTCTGCGGAAACCTGGTGGTTCTTCTCACAATAAGGGGCAGCCAACTTAGTGAGCATCCAATGTACTTTTTTCTCAGCTACCTTTCCCTCATGGATGTGTGTTTCACTTCCACAGTGGCCCCTAAATTGATTATAGACTTATTGGTACAGTGCAATGCAATATCCTACAATGGCTGCATAGTCCAGATGTTTTCTGCCCACTTCTTTGGTGCCACTGAGATATTTATCTTGGTGGTTATGGCCTATGATCGCTACGTAGCCATTTGCAGACCCCTTTACTACATGGTCACCCTGAACAGACCAGTGTGCTACGTTCTTGTGATAGTCTCAGTTACTGGTGCTTTTATGCACTCACTTATGCATGTACTGATTGTTATCAGACTTCCCTTCTGTGGTGCCAATGAGATAGACCACTACTTCTGTGACATATTCCCCCTGCTGAAACTGGCCTGCACTGACACAAGACTCCTCATTATTATAGTCATTACCACAACAGGGCTGTTGTCTATTTTGACCTTTGTTGCCTTGGTCATTTCTTACATCATCATTTTGTCCACACTGAGGATGTGCTCATCCAGGGGCCGCCGGAAAGCTCTTTCTACATGTGGCTCTCATATTACAGTTGTATTCATGTTCTTCTTGCCGCTCATCTTTACCTATGTCCCAATGGGTGATCTTGTTGGGGATGACAAGGTGTTTGCTCTATTTTACACTGTGATTGCCCCTTTGTTCAACCCACTTATCTACACACTGAGGAATACAGATATGAAGAATGCCATGAGGAAAGTGTGGTGCCAAGAAAAACTGTCTGAAGGAAAGTGAAATTTCTTCTGGTGGAGCCTTTTGCTCAGTTTTGCTCTATGTATAGAATTACTGTGAACAATACAAAAAAAAAAACCTAGATGGATAAAAGATACAAGTCATGAAGAGAAAATCTTCTAGCCACAGAGACCACATGTATGGATGAATTAATTACAAGTCTTTTCTATTTTGATTCAATAGAACTTATTTTGTCTTATTAAGTAGAACAATTATATAATTTGGCAATTTTCACTCTACGTTGGGATACTGATATTTTGTCTGAGATAGCTGTCATAAAGAAGTGCTAATCACATGCTTTTTCATGCTCCCACTACAATTAACAAAATAAATATAGGAAAAGAACCAAAACACTGTATTTGTCTTGTCACTTGGTATTATCCTCGTATACATCACGTTTCACAAACATGTTGGTAAAACATTAATATGTTATTAGGAGACAGAATCTTAAAAAAAATCCTCTACAATGGCTCTCACACTCTTTCCCCTCTCTTCTTCATTTCTGCCTGAGCCTTAGTTGTAGGAGTATTTTGTAGATATATCCATTGAGACCAGGCTCCACACCTTTGAATTTTGATTGGTAGATGTTTTCTATAGTCGTATCTTTCTTTTTTAAAGAGAATTTTCCTTGATGAGAGGTTAGGATGACACTTGATGACTGTGAACGACATAAGGACAAAAGATTATACTGCTTTTAGGGATTGTTCTGGTTTAGTTAATCAGTAGTTGTAGATTCCTCTCCAACAACCATGACTTCTCTAGCATTGAGAGATAGCTAGTCATCCATAGACATGATTTCTCTCTAGTTGAATGAGTATTCAGTTCAATTAGGGAGCTTTTAGTTACTATCAATATATATGTGCCACTATTTCACCCTTAGCGCTATCATATCATGCTGGTTATCAGTGTGGTTTATAAGTGTCATAGCTGAGAAAAGCTTTTTTGCCTTTATCCTTTGGAAGTGGGATAGGTGATATTATCCACCAAAGAACATAGCAATTGGTTGTCTAGAGCCAAATGGTCAACTGTGAAAACATACTAAAAGTAACATTATATCAGCCACGTGATGGTGGTGCATGCCTTTACTCTCAGCACTCAGGAAGCAGAGGTAGACGGGTTTCTGTGAGTTTGAGCCTAGCCTGGTCTACAAGAGCTAGTTCTAGTACAGGCTTCAAATCTACAGAGAAACCCTGTCTCAAAAAAAGTAACATTATATAAATAGAACAGTTTATAATAGTAATATATATTTATTGCTATATATGTGTACACCCATAAGTATAATTTATGTATCGCAACATGAATATATGTATAAGTGAGTGAATGTGTATGTGAAACAACAATCAATGACAAAGAGATAATGAATTTGAAGAAAACCAAGAAAGAGGATATGAGAGTTTTGGAGGGAGAAAATAGATGGGAGAAATGCAATTGTAATATAATCTCACAAAACCCTGTTTTTATGCATTTAGACTCTTTAAACAATTGTTTCTAAAATATTTAAGTGAACTGTAAATATACTATTATTTTAATGATTATGTCAAATAATGTATTTAATACTTTGAATCCTAGTGTGTTATTTTAATTAGGACTTTCATATTAAGAATGAATGCATCTCATTTATTTATTGCTCATGGGTAAGGTTGATGAATAGGAATTTCCAACATTCAACCCCTCTAATGAAACATGAATTTGAAGGACTATCAATATATATACCAGTCTGCCTCATGAGAACAATTAAAGTACATGGAAGATAACTGCCTACATGATTAACATAAGCATACAAAAATAAGTATAGCTAAAGTTAAGACAAATTCCATCTTGTCTTTAACATCCTTTTCCTAACCCTGGCACAGAGAAAGGCACCTGCCAGTGTCTGTAGGTGAGAGAGGTAAGCACACTATTTTGCCCAGGAGAAGCAATATTTAACAGTATAAAATTCAGGATGGGTAGCTTTACTCTGTGTATTAAACTAGCCCTGGGATCCAGAGCCTAGTCATAGGGCTAGAACTACTAACTCAACTTCTTTTTTAGTTTGGGCCAGTAAAGTTTCTCAAAGGCTTATAAGTTACAGATTGATCCTCACCCATTGATACTATTGGGAGATCAAAAATGTAGGAAATGGAACATGCAAGTACGCGTGTGAAAAATATGCTGATATTTGCAACTCCTTTCTTTCATTTTGATTCTTGGCTATCATGAAGTGATCGTCTCTGTTAAACTATGTATTTTATACCTGAATATTCTGCCTCACCACAGTCTGAAATATTATGAGTCAAATGACTACAGGTTGAAGCCTCTGAAACTAAGAGCCCAAATGAATGTTCTTACTTATATTACATTAGTACATGTTATATAGATGTATATTTTATATATGGAAAACTTCATAGAAATAGGTATATATATACATATATATACATATATATACATATATATAGATAGATATAAATGATTTACATAACAGAAAGTTTACCAACCCAGCTTCTAAACACAGTCAAACAGGAACAAGAATTAAGCTGTGTACTTGTGCTCATAGACTGTACTTCTAAGATTTCTCTGGTACCAAAAATGCTTCCACTGTATTGATCTAACCTTGCCTTATGGTACTAGTCTTTAGTCTCATTCAGTCACCAAGATTGACCACCAGTCCTAGTAACCAGAGCATTTCCATTGAACTTGCCCAGACTCTAGAGCTATATATTTTAGGATAGAATGTATAGACTGAGCTTGTCAGCCCTCTGTAGTGCTAGACAAGATATCAAAATGGAAGTCTGTGTGACATTTTTCTCTCTAGTTAGAAACAGTCAGAAAATAGTCAAAATCTTATTTTTCTTTATTGTTGGCATCATGTTTCATTGAGTGTTAATGGATTTCTACTTGACCATTGCTCATTTTAAATTAAATGTTGATATATATCCTTATGTACATAAACATAACCTTCTCAATCTGTATAATGCTTTCAGGGCTGACCATTAGGTAACTAATTCTCCTTCCATGGGGAAGATTATCTCTCCTATTCTCAGCATTTCTTAGTTTCCTGTAGCTCTTTCTGTAGAATTGAGGCTTCGTGAACTTTCGGGGACTCCCTGTGCAAATTAGCATATGTATCCTGACTGTTATTGTTCTTATTATCTCATGTTTAGTCAGTCATGCTGCTCAGGCTTCATTGGGGTAGATTCTGATATTACTAGGAGACATGATAGTATAGCAAACTCCATGATCTTATGGCACTTACAATCTTTCTGACCAGGGTTGCAAACCTGATGATTGATCCCTGAACCTTAGTTTCAGGAGATTTAATGTATAAAACTCATATTAGGCAATAAAATATTTTTCAGAAGCCTTTATTAGAGCCTCATTAAAATAAGTCTCCTAGTCTCCTTATACAGTTCAGAAGGGATAATAGTATGTTTAAGCCCAGCTTCTAGTTCTATCAATTTCTCTCTCTCTCTCTCTCTCTCTCTCTCTCTCTCTCTCTCTCTCTCT